TTAACCGATTGGCTTCAGCAAATTTGTCTTTTATAATTCTATAGTAAAAGTGAATTGTTGTTAAGGCTCTGAGATTAGGTCATAGCGTGTCATTTATGGTAGAAATTGACACATTTATATTTGTTTTATCTGAGGACCACATCAAGTTTCCTGTTTATATCTCACTAGTTTCAAATCTGTTTATTCCACTGTCAAATTGACTCCTTTCCTTCCTCAGAGGCTTTCAACCAAGAATTTATAGTCTGTTTATATCACAAGAACAAAACTATCTGAAAGATATAAAAAGAAGAAGAGACTAGGTAAGGTGGATTAGTTTGACATAAGTCTTGAAACTATAAAATGACTGGAATGAAACTACCAGGCTGAGTTGGCTTTTACGTCTTGTACATCCAGTTAACCAAATAAGCGCAGTGCACTGCAGTCTACTGTGGCGTCGTATCAAATAGTTCGAATGCCTTGTTTGAAATTTCCATTCATTTCATCTTATGCATTGTTGGTCTTCAAAACAATGTGATAATTTGTTAGTCAATTACTAAGTATTTAATGGAGATCATATAAAAATGATTTTTATGAAAGCGCACTGTATAACTTTACGTTAATGAGCGGAATATGGAATTAGGCAATAAACCGGTTTTATGACGTAATTCTAAATTTAAACACCTAAATCTAATCCTAACCTTAATTCGGGATTAAACTCGTGTATTTAGGATTTACTGAACATGGAATTATTACCATGCAAATTAGTGACGCTACATTAAATAAGTAATTAATTGATAAAAAAGAGTTGCATGACGGCATTGACAAGTACCGCTCGGCATTTGCTTTGGCTAATTCTTTTATGACCACGACAGTCAATTAAGCAGAAGACAGCGCCTTCGAATCGTTTTTATGTTTTAATTCCTTGTATAAATTTATTTCCACCATCTCATTGTTGTCTTCAGAAGTTAATTTCAGCTGAAATTTATATTGGAGCAGCAATAACTAACCGAATATTAACATATAATTTAAGTTGAAACTGAAATATCTAAAAAACTACGGATAAATATTCAATGAAAAGTATTTCACATGAAATTATTTGATCATCGAGCACTAGAAAGTGTTGGGATCATCAGCAAGTATCATTTACTCATTTACTCATGTGAGATTTTCGAGTGTCAACGTTCCTCTGAACTGAACTATGATTACAATAACTGAATGCTGAGTCTATGGGCTTGAACGTGACAATCAAGAGCACTTCCTCCCACCATAGACAGAATGTGTATCCCCATAGACGAAGGAGCCCTCCCCCCAAAATAGGAAATCAATATTTTGAAATATTGGCCAGCGTAGCTATACGCTTGAGAGCGTTGAGGTAGATGTTTGAATGTAACGTTCAAAACAATCAGAAGACCAGCGTCCTAACGTTTTGATCAGCCAAGCAGGCAAGTTAGCCGAGGCTGCAGTCGTAGCAGCGTCGATTCGAAAGCTATGACCAGCATATTCCCTGGCGTTGAGACCAACTTTCTGTAACAACGTTCGAGTCTGAGCAGTTAACGTTTGTTTCGTGAGCGGTTTGCCTGATGCATGAATAAAGAGATGGCCTGTGGTTTGTGGTCGCCGTACTAAATACTGCTTCATGGGCGAAACGGTGCAAAGCGCGGTCCCTGTGCCTCCAACAGTTATGGTGTGACCTACGCGAAAGGGGTCTGTTTTGGATTCTTTAAGGTGAACTGTCATATAATTAGGTTGGGCCATTGCTGTACCTTGGGGAAATAAGATATTATCTTTCGCGAGGTGTATACTGGAGTTAAATTTCGAATTTGTTGTTAGCTCCCCCAAACGGAGAAAGCCAAAAAATGCCAGAGTCATAGCTGCCCAGATCATAACGGAATCATAATTTTTAGTGTTAGGGACAGCAAGCAACGTGCGGAAGAGTTCTAAGTGATTAATGGTGATCAGTAAGCGAACTCAAACTTTATCCCCCTGGGAGCGTTTTATTTCCCGTAGTACTAGTTGCAGCCGCACCATTTTTTGTAAATTCAGAGTAAGACCGTGGCGATCATGGAAGTGGCGGACGGCCGCCAAATATGTTTTGATCGATGTATACCTGATAGTTCTGGCCAAATATGCAACGTATTCTGTCAAAAGGGATTCATTGGCAGGGAGACAATGTTCGACCTTTTGTCGCCTAAACCAATTTACAAAGTGCTTAAAACTTCTCTCGCCTGCGCTGTAGGTCTGCTTAGTTGTCGTGGCAACGGAAAGATATATATAGCGTTGAATATCATCGTTTAGATTGGCAGCATTATTTCTGCGACCAAACATGGGTTGATATCCGCCTGCGGTGCCAGTTGACGGAATCGCTGAAGTCGATTGAACTTGTCTCACGTATGCTGCGGGAACATCGTGGAATCCGTGGCTGTATGGCACTTGAGGTGACGTCGCTGTAGGAACAGCCGAATTTAAAAAATGCGCGGCTACGGAATGCTCAGGAGCATCATCAACGATGGCCTCATCTACGCTGTTGGTGACGGGACCGGAGTTCTGCATGGCAGCCACAGCAGCTTTAGCGGCGGTTGTCGCGATCTGTTCAGCCGATTTGTCGAGGATGGCCTGAATTTGCCCTAACTGAGCATCGTTGAAAGCGTTCGCTGTCGCTGTCTGTCGAGGATTATCCGGGCAAGTTGCAGGGACCATCTCTGATTCAAGAGCGCTCGAGGAAGCGTGCCGCTGTAGTCGGTGAATCAGCGTGTTCCGCCGTCCGTTCGCAGGTAAACCTTGTTCGGCGCAACGTTCTCGAAGAGCCGTTAAACTTATCTCGCTCGGTGGCTGATGTAGTTGGCGTTGTGTTGTTCGACTACGTGCGGCTCGAGGCATGATAAGAAATCTTGCGATTTGACGTAAATAATACCTTTTAATTTTGCAAACTGTGTCTTTGAGCAGAGCGATTTGCCAAGCGAGAAGATTGCATGAGGTTGTGCATGGTGCTTGAAACCTCTGAAATGTTATTGGTTGTTTTTTCGCGCCAAATGGAAAAGGAGTTTAATTGGTTGGATTGAGCAGGTCAAATGATGTTCGCGTGCGGTGCAATATTGCATCTACTAATGCATTGGAGCGCCGGTTTGACGCATGTCTGACATGCTGCCCGCAAACATATGTTTTTTGCCAAAGCCGAAGACACACCTTGTTATCAACGTTTCCTCATTAACTGTATTTTAATATTGATATACTAAAATAGCTTTTATTTTTTATTTGTGGCCTAAACCTCTGGAATTATGTCTACGTCGTGAATGATCAGATTTCGTAGCCATAGGTACGTTTTTGTCTCTTTCTTGAAGATTGTAAATAATTTTATATCGTCAACAGCGGAAGTATGCTAGGCCCGGCACAGCGCTGTGGCGTGATATTATAACGTTCAGCAAAACCTTGAATAAAATCAGTCGTTAATTTCGTTCATAATATCTTTCATTCGTCTTACTATAACATATCATGTTGGTTGTCAATAATTTCGCTTTAGCAAATTGTTTTTCGTGACCGTAATAATATTGACATAAAGGCTGTGGAATTACGTCATGGTGCGTAATGAATATGCCACATTTATCTTTCATATGTTTCATCTGACGAGAACTATAGTGCTTTGAATGTAACTTCATGTTTTAACAATAATCCTGTTTTTTTCATTCTGACCAACCAGATTCCTAAACAAGTCTCAGCTTATTCTGCTATCAAATTGTTACTTTTCTTCTGCAGAGGCGTTCAACCAAGAAATTATAGTCTGTTTATATCACAATAATTTAGGAAGCCTTTGAAAAGCCTAAAAAAGCACATCTAAAAAACATATACCCATGCAAGCTCGATAAATAACCAGCAGGATGGAATAAAGTGAGTGATGTTTTTATCGCCTGATTTGTGTACATTTCTGAGCATCTGTCAGTACATTTCTGACTAAATATTCTGTGGAATATAGACGCTGTGGTTGAATTGTTGCCCCAAGATTATAAATTGTTTTCCCGAAAAACCTAGATAATGTCGCAAATTTCCGGTTCTTTTTTTTCTCCATTTTTCCATGACAGATAATGTTAAAGTTAATAAATAGCGTGTTCCATCTGGCATTTGAATCGGATTTGAGTTAGGGTCGGCCTCGAATATTCTTTGAACATGAGTGAGCAAATGATACGAAGTTTCATGTATTTCTAGCAATCGCAAAGCCAACACATACAATGAACAATCAATTCACTGAGTTCTTTGTTGGGCCTGGTCTGGAATTATTGAGTGTAACAATATCTAATGTACATTTATACCAGATCGGGTCGGAGACACATGAACAGCCCCGCTTTATTTTGGGCCACATTTAAGGGTCCACATTTAGACTAGGAGGGGGTTGTCAAAATCGATTTCAGCAACTTTGGTGAAAAATTTCATATGTGTTCTCACTGGGCTAGTCAGGGCACTGCATTGTAATGTAATGTTTTAAAATATTTTAGTACTTCAGAAAACACAAATGCGTAAATTTTATTGCCCTTATAATAACGTATGAAGTTTGTGGTTAATTAACAATTAGACAACGAGTCTGAGTTGTCTATGAGCGAATAGTCAACGAAGGCGAAGCCTGAGTTGACTATTCGCTCATAGACAACGAAGGAGAGTTGTCTAATTGTTTTAGTATACACCCTGTACCTAGATATATTAATTTCGAGAAAATAATCGATACACCGCAATTACACCGAAAAATAATTCAATTTTGTACGGTCGCGCGAGCGAAATTTTTCCCAAGCGTGCACCATCACGAATAGACAATGGTTGAGTAGCCAATCAGAATGTAGGATTTGTAATAGACGATAGTCGGGTGTATACTAATAATTAATAGATATGTCCTAGTGACTATTAATAATTGCTGCTTAGTGTAACTTTCTAGTTAATGCATTAGCATTAGATATAGGAGCCCTAACCCAAATGGTTTTTCTAACGAAACCCATCTAGTATTAACACCCATTTGTTGCAGTAAAACTTCGTGCAATGTCATGGCTTCTGACGGACTGCAAGAAAAAGCAAATTTTACAAGACTCAGTAGACTTTTAGTTGACAAAGGAACTGAGGCTTTGAGAAATACATTTGATACCATCCATCCACCTGTTAGTCTACCCGGAGTACTGGCTGCAAACAAAACATCTCTTCAAAAGTTAAAACCTCGAATTATTAATAATTCTCAGTGGGATTTACTGTTTCCTCCGTCTGGCAACCCACCAGATTCCAAAACGTTTGATGTCACATTACTTACAGTTCTATTCCGGAACATTTGTGGTTTTCCATCAACAGGATGGGGTGTAATGCCTCCGGATACTGATAGATCAACGCAAGCGAATATCACAAGAATCAAGTGTTACAGAAATGAAGTTATTGCACATGTAACAACAACTCAAGTTGACAATTCAACATTCGAGTCTTTATGGAAGAAAATTGCCGAGGCATTGGTAGAATTGAGCATTCCACAGAGTGATGTCGACGATTTGAAAACTTCATCTTTGGAGCCTGACGATAAACGGTATTCCAAAATCCTTGAACAGTTGAAAATTCATGAATCTTTGATTGATCGTTTGACACGAATTACAGAAGAATACCGCGGTGAAAGTGATGAAGATGTCTTGCGAAAACTTGCAAAGCATAATTTTAGGTGTAAAATTCAGAGAAAAGCTGAGTTATTCCAACCCGGAACAAGAGAGTGGTTATTAAAGAAAGTTGACGAGTGGTTTCATAAGAATGATGCGAATTCAAGAATAAAGTTAATAACGGCTGGACCAGGATTTGGTAAAAGCGTGTTTGCCGCTAAAATCTGTGAAGATTTTGAGAAGAATGGAAAGCTCGCTGCTTGTCACTTTTGTGATTTCAGTGATTCAAACCTAAGAGATCCTATGGTGATGCTGCAGTCTCTCGCAAGTCAGATGTGTAAGAGCGTCCCTGGCTTTAAAAATGAGCTCCTTGATCAATTACAGCGACCGCATCAAGTCAAAAATCTCAGAGATGCTTTCCAAATATATTTACAAAATCCCTTAGCTGAATTGGAAATAAAAGAGCCACGTTTAGTCGTGATCGATGGCTTGGATGAAAGTGCTGCTGATAATAAGAATGAAATTACTCATTTGATTGCTGAATATTTTCCTGATCTTCCCGAGTACATCAAAATCTTGGTGACGAGCAGGCCAGAGATTTCCGTTGCTGATCTAAGACTAAGAGACGATCAAAAGACGAACATTGCGAATGTTGACGCCAACAATAACTCAGATCTTGATCTTTACTTTAAACAATGTCTTCCAAATTTAGTCGGCAGGGAAGTACATCAAAGTGAAGTGAGCCGTGATTTGAATGAGTATCCATATCTTTACCGTTTTGAGCAAAATAAAACTATTAGTTTACTTTCCATATTTGTTGCCAAATGCCAGGGCTCATTTCTCTATGCATACCACTTTCAATCTGGGCTAAGGGCTCGCTATGATCTTGAGAAGATAACAAATAATGACTTTATGGAGTTTCTCCCAGAAGGACTGCATTCTGTTTACGAACGATATTTTAAACGCCTTGAAGACGAGCTTAGCGACATAAAACATGAAAAGTTCGATGTGTTGAAAATTTTGGAAATGCTGGCTGCTTCCGAAGAAGATCTTCCCCTCACTTTCGTCGCTCAGGCTTTTGGTTTAGCTCCAGATTGTCGCGAAACGAAAGACATCATCAACAAAATTAATGAAACCGTATCGTGCTTGTTGTACGTTTCAGATGACATGTTAACCGTTTTTCACAAGTCCGTTATTGATTGGCTTCTAGCAAAGGGCTACAAAGATCACCAGTATTCTGTCAAAGTCGATGATGGACATAGATCGCTTTGGCTTTTATGCGAAAAGGGTTTTAAAGAAATTAAAGATAAAGCTGTTCACTCAGGACTTGAGGTGAAGTTTACTATTGACGTGGAATATGCTCTGAGATTTGGTTTAAAATATCTAGAAAAGTGTGAAATGGAGGAAGGTGTGTTTTGGTCAGTTGATGTCATTATCGTATGTTATATGTTAACTGTAATCGGTTCATATGAATTGCTGCGTTTCTGGCTCACAATACTGCAATGTTCCTGGGTTAAAAACGAAGATTTACGCGCCCGCATTTCGTACCATGTCATTGAATCTGAGTCTTTGGAACATGCCTTGGAACCCGTGAGAGGATATTCCCACTCTTTAAAACAAGTTTATTCGACAATATTTTCACAATCGTATTTACAAGAGGTTCTTACCCGTTCTCCAGAAGGTTATTTCAGCGATGATGAGAAGAAAATCGCGGAGACGCTACCATCAAACCTTTCACCTTTGGTGGAGTCGAATTCTTACAAAGTTTCGGTTTTGCCGCGAGCAGTCTGGAAACACGGTGACTTGGATCATATTACAGCTGTTGCTTTATCTAACGATGAAAAAAGTGTAGCAGTTGTAAGATATAAGTTTATCCATGTGATATCCCTACCAACATTAGTTGAAATTATGAGTTATTCAACAAAATTGAAAAGAATTCCATGCTGCATATTTTCTCCAGACGATTCGCTCATATTATTTGGTAAACTGGAAACAGCATTTAACATTGCTGGAAAAAAGGAAGTTCCATTTTTCCCTGGAAATGAAGAGACGTTCCTGTCCTGTGCATTTTCCCCGAACGGCAAAAAACTGGTGACTAGCGACGGTTCAAACACCATTAAACTATGGGACGTTGCTAAACAAAAAATGCTGTCGTCGCTTTGTGCTGAAGATTCTGTTGATTGGTGTTCTTTTAGTGTCACAGGGTTATTTATTATTGCAAATTCAAATCATCTTCGTTTTTGTGTTTGGAACGCCATCACATTGCAAAGAAGTGATAAGCGAAAATTATCTCACGGGGAAAGGGAGAAACCAGATGTGTTAAAGAGAAGGAAATGTGAACGATGTTTTCAGCGGGGATTTCAGGAACCAAATTCTAAACACTTAGAAATGACGATACGTGTGAATTATCATACAATTTCGTGTCCGTGGATCTGCAAAGGTGTGGAGTGTATTTTTTCTTCGGAAGAATTTTGTTATTCGAGTGACACAGAAAGTATTCCTTTGACTGCGATTCTCGCTTTGAACTATCTTGTTGCTGCTCCTGACTTTTCTTTCCGTGCAATCAAAATACCAACTTTAGCAGATAATCTGTGGCTCTATTCAGATGATCGAAAACTAATTGTCTTTAAGACATTAGTTCCTAAACAAGAGCAATCCTGTCTGTCACAGGCAACGAAAGTTTATTCGATTTCGTTTTCTCCTGACGGCTCTCGACTTGCATCCTGCAACTCAGATGGATATATCAACGTATGGAATGTCTATACCAGCCAAGTTGAACAACGTTTCAAAAGCAGTCAATGCAGGTCAAGGTTTTTATGCTGGTGGTCGGAAGATTTATTGTTTGTGATTAGTGAATTTATTGGCGAGATTCCCAAATTAACGCGATATCCGGTAGATGACAATTTAGAGATCTTGTTTACTCACAGTCAGGACGTGGCGCTGTGTCATTTAGCTACCTGGTCTGACATCCCATATTATATCTATATGCTTCGTTTCTCTGAAGGCTTTGTCAGCTTCCATCTCGAATGGAATGAACCCGTGAAAGTTCTCGATGTCAGAAATGTTGATGGTCCTGTAATGATCAATTTACCTGGAATTGAGTCTGAGATGGAAGTGGAAATTTCGCCCGGTGGTGCCTTTATCTCTGGTTGTAATAGGAATAAATGTTATATTTGGAAAAGAAATACCGAAAACCCAACTTCGTATGAAGTCTTTTATCACTGTGAATTATACAGTGAATCAGTCGCAGTAAGTTTCAGTGATGACTTCGAAGTCGCAGTAAGTTTCAGTAATGACTCCGAAGTCGCAGTAGTCATGGAATTCTTGAACTTTTCTGATGCGAGAAGTCAGATAATTGATCTGGACACTGGTGATTCTCAAAATATAATGTTTAATTGCAATTTTGCTCTTCAATCCACCAGGTCATTTTGTATTCACGAGAGTAGAATTGTAATAACTGTATTTGATCACCTGATAACATTTCATGACATGTACTCTGGCGCGATTCTCAACACTTCCTATCAACCATACTTGAACGCTTATAAGCCAAGCCAAAGAATTAAACTTTCCCCAAAAGAGACCATGCTGGCTTTTCCTAACTACAAAGGCGATATGGTGTTTCTTCGACCGTCTATTCCGCCAAATTCTTTGTTGAACGATAGCGATAGCAATTAGCAGTTGCTGGGTTGGACGATATTAAACAACGAGAACTTCCTTTGTTGGACGATATTAAGCGAGATGCAGTAGTCAATCCTTTCTTTAACCGGAATAAAGTCGCCTCGCGGAAAAGGTTTTTAGGAAAATTTACACAAAGCTGTATTAATATTTTCTTAAATGTTTGGTTCCCCGCAGGTTGTTTATACCCATTAAATGAGAATGTCTTTATTTTTAAAAATACTGAAATGAACTCGTTCACACAAGGACGAAAACCAATAGTAGAAGACTTTGTTATGAACGACAGATGTTTTGGAATTTATTTTTCAGTTGGGATATTTCATTATGGATTTAGCGAACAATAACATGAAAAACTATCATTATGAACATTGTTTTCGGGCAGCGGCTAGACTTTGCTTGGAGCTGGTCTAGAATGGAGAAGTAAGACACCTCCTTCCCTCCGTTTGTCTGGGAGTTCACCTTGGGCAAGTGATAGCACTCCCTTGCCTCCCTAACTGGGGTTACAGTTTGTTAAACAAAACAAAGATGATATCTTGAATACATCTGCAAGAAACAAGTCCTGCATGAAAAACTGTGACCAATGCCAGTCGTATGATGGTGTTGTTTAAGATGTTCATTATGGTAGTTTACTACAGTCATTTTGGTGGTGATAATTCTCATCTATGATGTTGGTGATGGTGCTGGTCTCTGATAGTAAATGTGCTGTTTATGAAAATAATGGTAGAAATTGTAGTAACTATATTAGCTGTATTTTGTTCACGAAGTTTGATGCTGATGAAAAAGAAAGATAACGGAACTCAGTGACGTCATGCACTAGAACGATAATTAGGGGGAGTGAATATTCATATATCTAGTTTTGCCCGACGGATTTCTTTTGTAAGTGCAATAGCTTAAAATAGAAATCCGTCGGGAAGAACTGAATATATGAATAAACACCACCTCAATTATCGTTCTAGTTACGCTTCTAATGGAACTACAAGAACTATGTACATTATAGAGAACGTTCGTTTTTTAGCTGGGAAGGAAGATATTTGTAGTCTGAAGCGGAGCTGGAAAATTGTAAAAATTTGACTAAAATGTAAACAATATTATGTTCAATAATTTTGATGTTCATGAAAAAGAAGGTCACGAAACAACACAACAATGAATATCTTAGACTTATGCGTGTTTCAAACGTCGTGTTTTGGTTTTTAATGGCTCGACACTTGAAAGAAGAACGACGTTTGAAACAGGCCTTAACTCACCCAGAAGAATAAATTCCTAGGTATGTTGTAGTATTTTTTGCAGAAAATAATGCGAAACTTTTTAATTCCTAAGCGCTCAGTTCCATTAAATTTCGTTCTCAACTTGCAGAATTTATTCTCGCGAACTGATAAAGAATTAGGAAGTGATCCTATATTTTCGCGGCGAATTTCTTCGCGGACCAATCACATCACAGGTTTTTAGATTCCGGTTCGTGTCGCCTGAATAAATTCCCCGAGTGGAGACCCAGCTGATGTGAATATTTTCTATGAGAATGAAATATCTGTATAAGGCATACGAATGGGAGAGCTTTGTTTTGTCAACTAATAAAACGTGGTGTCTTTAATAAACGAACACGCAACTATATTGATCTGTAAGCAAACTAATATCAAGTGTTGAAAAGGGATATTATGACTTAGAAAGTGTCTGGCACACACAAGTACATATCTGCTTGATATTTAATCATAGGCTTTGCCAGCATTTATTGTAATTTGTATAGATTTGTAATCATTTGTAAACGGTTATAACCATTTTATTACATATTTCACTCAGTTGCTGAATTTTCTATATCTGTGGTTGTTAACGTTCGAAATATCACCTTGGAGGTAATTGGCGAAATATCACCTTGGAGGTAATTACACCAAGAACTAGGGTTGCCAGATTGCCTGAATAAATAACCTGAATCATTATTACCCTCAAGAAAACAGAGGAAACAACAGAAACCAATTAAGTAATATTTCGTGACCGCGAAGTCTTTCTAGGAAATTGTTAGGTGAGGTTTTGGGCGGCAGTCGAACCAAATAGTTCCAACTATAGAAATTGATAATTTATAGATGTGGGAGTTGTGGGCGGTTTGGAGCACCTTCCTCAGAAAATTTCTTTGTTGAATCTTATTGAACATCGTCACTCATTATTATTCACCGCAGTATTTATCTCCATGGATGGATTACCATTGTCTTATAACACAGGATAAATTTGTTTTTTGAAAGATAAAACGTGTAGTCTCTTCTTTCCCTTCGATAAGCCTCGTTTTCATATGTCACCGACAGTCAGCGATGATAGGTGGTGGCCGGTGACGAAATTTGTTTAAAATAAAAAAAGCCCTTTATTCTCCTGCATTCACCAACCATTGCCATCGACCTGGCTTATAATCCTGGGGCCGGTTGTTCAAAAGCCGGTTAACGCTAACCCAGGGTTAAAAATGCCTAACCCAGGGTTAACTTTTAAACCTTGGTTGATTCGCGTTGCACAAAGCTCGGTTAGCGTTAACCCTAGGTTAAAATTGATAAAAAAATTAACCCTGCTAGCTAGGTGGGTTCACTTTTTAATCCTGGGTTAACTTCGATTCAAAATGGATGAATAAGGAGCTGAAAGACGTAAACACGTATAATTCGTCATGAATTAAACACTTTTGAAAGGTTTTACGAATAATTTCGACAGCAAAGAATTATTTAAGTTTGACTTCGTTCGGTTTCAGCTGATGTATTGATTTATTTATCTTCACTTCAATGCAACACACGATAAATGAATACAACCGTACAAATTGAAACATCGTAATCGAAATATTTGTTTCGGATGCCAAAATTCGATTCTTTTGATTGGCAGCAAGTGGTAAGGCTACGTTTGTTCCTGAATTTTGAATAATCAAAGAATGCCTGAAATTTTAAAATAGATTATAGATTGTTTATAATTTGCTTAATTTTATTTCACGTCGACATTGTTTATTATACAAAATGGCCTTTCATTTCGAATCTTTCCAAAATTCCATGCACGGAAATAGCTGTTCAAAACAACGTCCCTGCGACCCTGCCCTCACGGCATATAATCTTTCGACTAACAATATATCCTCGTCCGGTAAAGTTTTGACGCTCGTTTATTGACCAATCGAAAACGTTCTTATATCCAATTTAGTCCTAAAAATATATTTAATCTTAGGTTAAATATTTTAACCCTGGGTTAACTAACCCTACCGCTAACCCAGCTTTGAACAACACAGTTTTAACCCAGGTTTAGCTAACCTAGGATTAAGGATTTTAACCCAGGTTTAGCACTAATCCAGGGTTAAATTTAACCTGCTTTTGAACAACCGGCCCCTGGCGTTCTTCTTAACCACCAACAGTCGGCGATGTATTGTTGATAACCAATGACCAAGAAAATTTATGGGAAATAACACAGCACTTTATTCTCCAGTGATCTCTGAAAATAGCCTTCGCCAATTGTCGGTTACATATGAAAAGTCTAGTTCACTGGTTCTTGCATGTCACCGGTAGTTCGCCATATATTATTGGTGACCATGATCATGCAGTGACTAAAGCCTCGTTTACACGACAAGCATTTTTGGCCAGGCACGCTTCATTTT